GGTCAGGCACCACAGAGGATGGATTAGAGTGAGGGAGCAGAGGGAAAGGGTCAAGGCTGGAGATTCAGAGACTACTTATACATTCACAACAGAGTTTACAGGGGTTCAGTGATCTGTGTGATGTGCGTTGACTATATCAGTGAGCTGACAGGCATGAATGAAGCTCCCTTCATTGAGCTTATGTCCAGATGGGGAGACATGTAGATCATCAAGAATTGGAATTATCTTAAACGTCTGTGGTAGGGTGTATCAAGCAGGATTTATGTCATCTAGACTTGATCACAAGGATTTATTGGCTCTTCCCACTGGGAATTGTCGAAAGCAGCTTTAGACAGCTTAATTTGGGGCTTGGAAGATGTCTTTATTCTCTCCATGTCTTGGCTCCATTTCTCTGGATTGGCATTATTCTCAGGCAGCTGTCCTCACATAGACACACAGATGGCATCTATAGCTCTTGACTTCCATCTCTATGAATGGAGCAGGAGGACAGTGACTTCAAACGTAGCTCTGACTGGTCCTAGAGCAACTGTGACTGGTGGGACTTGGATCATAAACCCATCTTTCAACTAAGCTCAGGTCAGGTGGAGCCCTCTGGATTATGTACCCTATTCTCAGAGGCAGGGAGAGTGGGGACAGCCGAGGGGTCATGATTCTGTCTGAATGAAAAAGATTCGAATGGCCTGGGCAGAAGGCCGGTTAGTTCTACAGAGTAATGCTGGCAGCCCAACACGTGGCATTGTGACTGACGAGATAAGTCACCCACTGAAGTATTGCTTTAGCAAGCAGCGATGAGCTGTGGTTATTAACCCAGAAAGGCACCTGTAGCACATTGTTTAAGTGAAGAAAGTTCCCAAAAGAATAAGTATAATAGGATCCAATTTTGATTTGAGGATAAAAAAAGATCCCTTAGTCTAGGGGGAAAAGCCCATTAACAGTGGTTATGTCTAGGTGGTAAGATGATGGATGACATCTTTATTTTCCTTATTATCTTTCTCTGTTCCCTGAAAAAAAGTTTTACACTGAGGGTATATTTCTATTATAATCAAGAAAAAAAAACACCTTTCTATTTCGGGAAAAAGAAAATGTATCTATTGCAGAAACCTTAGTAAGAATTGATGAGGCCAGAGCTAAGAATGGTGAAGAGAGGAGGGGAGGAGTTGAGAGAGTTTTGAGAAGCTAATCCTCAGGCCTTGCTGATTGGCTGAGGGAGGGGCCCAGGCTGACTCTGGGGTCTCTGCTCTCGGTGACCTGGAGGCAGGGGTTTCCAACACTGTGGGGCCAGCTGCAAGCAAAGACCAGCTGACACCTGTTAAAGCGAATATTTACACTTCTTAGAGATTTGGAGGTCTTGGTGGAAAAACAGACCTTGGAGATTTATGCCACTGAAAGAAAGATCCATTTGACTTAATAAAATTTTTGAATTACGTTTGAAGAAGAGGACATTGTTACTGCATGGTGTACGTATAGTGTACACCTCACTTATTCAGGAGTAGTAAGTTCTGTGAGGGCAGAAAATCATCCTTTGGTTGGAATCCCTCAATACCTAGCGTATACCCTGGTTGTAGAAATAGTGCTTTAAAATGTTTGCCACTGAATGAATTATTGAAGCTAAACTAACAGTTTTTAAGAGAAGTCATCACCATAATTTGCTCAGGAAACTCATCAAACTGGTTTATAATCGTTTGTAAATAAGCACTCCCAAAGTGCTTAAAATAGTGCTTTTCTTAATAAAAAAAAAGTTTGTCCTAAATTATTTTAAGACCGTTGTTAATATTTAGCAAGTCCCTCTAATTTATAGATGTAAAAAACCCAGCTGGGTCCTACCTACAGATGGTATAAATTGCTGAAGAAACGGATGCATCTTTGATATATTTTTCCCTGAGTCTTTCATGTGTATTTCCGTCTACCTTATAATATTATTTTCCTCCATAGCATGTTTAACACTATAATTCACAGAGCTCAGAAAATACATTATTTGGACTACGAGGCTACATATTAAAAGTGCTTTATGGAGCTTGGGCTCTGGAACCAGCTGGTCTGGCTCTGAATCCCAGCATTGTGGTGTGTAGACATGGGTAGTTTAAGTAATTCTCTCTGTCCTCCCATCTGTACAAACATGTTACCGGGTTTTCATGAACTTAGCACGTAGTCAGAACTCCAATATCAGCCTTCCTTTAAAAACCATTTGTTGCCCAGCCAGTGTAGCTCAGTGCTTGAATATGGACCCATAACCAAGAGGGCACTGGTTCAATTCCTGGTCAGGGCACATGCCCGGGTTAGAGTTTTGATCCCCAGGAGGGGGTGTTCAGGAGGCAGCCAATCAATGATTCTCTCTCATCATTCATGTTTCTCTCTATATATCCCTTCCCTTTCCTCTTTAAAATCAATAAAAACACATATTTTTAAAAAGCACTTTTGTTTATCTCCTGGGACAGAGTGATTTCCAAAAGTACAGGATTTCCTATATCCTATTTGTGATGGGATTTCTTTGATTTCCCTTGAAATATGTAAATACCTTCTCTTAGAAACCCGCCCAACACAGCTAAAGTCTGTGTTCTCATCTTAAGGCAGAGCAAAAAGGCAAAGCGCGGATCTCCACAAAAAGGTCATTTCAGGTAGCATCAGCCTGTACTTGGGCTTTTGATACAGCACCCTGCAGTACCCAGCTGCCGGCCAGCTCCTTGGAAGTAACCTAGGCCTGCCCTGCTGTTATGTCCAAATTGCCTGTTGGGTGGGTGCATTTGAGCAGCCCTGTTGCAGACACCCAGGGTCCTGTGGCAGGGTCCATGGTACCTGGGAAGGAACACGGAGGATCGGACCATTCTCATCACATGTGGTGGAGCACTTGCTGGTGGTTGATCCTCAAGTTCACATCTCCAGACACGAGAAAGGAGGTGAAATAAAGTGTTCGGATGAGAACTAAGAGGAGATGTGGTCTTTGTAATTCTTTCTTTATACAGTGTCAGAGTTGATGTAGCACCAAATTATGGTCACAGTGCAACAAAGGCCTGCCATCCCTCTCACTATTCAGACTGTGCCCTAGGGCAGCGGTTGCCAGCTGGTGGTCTGCGGACCACTGGTGCTCTCTGAGGTCCAAAAGGTTGGCAACTGCTGCCCTAGAGAGATCTTGGACACAAAAATATAAAAACGTATGAGTTGTTTTTTTTCTTTTTGGGGTGTGATGATCGTTTTATTTTTGACTACACCTGAGTGTATTTTAACACGAAATAAAACCTATTGTTTCCAATGCTATAGATTGTTTCATATTTTTTCAGAAAGTGCCCACACAGGGACTAGATCACTGAATTACAGAGACAGATATCAAAGCATGAAGCTTTGGTCACCACATAAATTTCCTGAAGATAAAAATCACAGCCTCAAAGGTGTCAAGATCCTATTTCAGATTTTTTACAATTAACCAAAGGGTTACAAACCAAATATTTGAAGCTGCCTTCTGAGTGCAGTGGGCTCACTTCCTGCCCTGGGTGCCTTCAGTCCCCTCCCCTACAGCTCCTCAAAAAAGTCACCAGCAACGATGGCCTCTTGTTGGCAGTAGAATTTATTCAGTAATTTACTTTCCAGCCAACTGCAGCCAGTGCCATCGCCTCTGGGCACTTGTTCAAAAACACAGAAATGAAATAACAGATTGGCAAGACCATCGCAACTCCCCAGTCACAACCCCATTATCTCCTCGTTCTGTCACCCCCATTAGGCAAAAGCCTGGGAGACTGGATGGTGATAACGCAGTATGTGTGCAGCCCCTTCATCCCCTCAGTTCAGGCTTCCCGCCAGGGCGCCTTCCTTCATCTTCACTCTGAGTGTTAGAGAGAGGGCCCAAGCTCCCTCCCTCCTTCATCTTCACTCCAGGCTTTGGAGAGAGGGTCCTAAGCCTCAGATCCCCAGGCCTTCCCTGTGCCCGCCCTGCCCCCCTCAGGGCTGCCGAGCTGGCTCCCTGCCAGGAAAAGGGCTCCTGAGTTCTGAGAAAAGGAGCCAGACAAAGGAACCCACTTCCTCCATTTGGTTGAAAGAGGTCGTGTTGAATGAATATGTGCTGGGTGGATTTTACTGAATGTCGAGGATCGATCTGCTTAAGTTATTTATAGCTGCTCTGTGCAAGTCAGCGTGGGTCCGAGTGGTGGCTTCATTTAACAGCCTGGGGCCGATGTTTCTCTGGACAGAATGGATGTCCAGGAGAGGAGGATCTTTTTATCCAGAGAGAATTGTTTTCTGATTGTTGTCTTCAGGGGAAATTCTTTTAAAATTGTAGGCATAAGAGACAAATGCCTGACAAGGGGTAGGGGCTGCATTTCTCCTTGTCAGGTATTAAAACTGGTGAAGTTTTAGAACTCGAATTATGAGAGATCCAGAGGAAACCGCCTCTTCTCTTCCACAGTCTGTCCTGTTGTAGACTAGACACTGTCTCTGGGTGGTTGGCTGTTCAGGGTGGTTCACATCCCAGTGGCATCCACCTTCTATTCTTTCTTCATTCCGTTCATCAGTTCTTACAGCCCCTTGATGATGCCTTTCACTAGTAATTCTTAGAGGGTTGGGATGATGATGTTTGGTTTTGTCCCCAAACCTCCTCTTAGCCACCTGGACGGTGAACACAGCTGGAATCTGAATAGGGTGTGTAGGGCTCCCCGACAGCACCCCCAACCCTACTGAGAACCACTGATTCAGTCCTGTTCCCGACAGAGTTCTGGTTACTAGTGGTAAAGCCCAGAGGAGGGTGTTTCTGTCAGGAGTAAAGTAGCCTTGTTCTGAGGAAACAGGAAAGAGGAGAGCACACAGCTGAATGCTTTTTAGATGCATTTTCCACTAAAAAAAAAAGCAGGATTTGGCTCAGGTTAATCCATCTGGAAGAGAATTACTCTCAGTGAAGACAGAACCGGGTACGAGGAACACATTCAGTTGTGTGCGATACGGCTTGTGTTAAGTTTGTAACGGCCGTGCTCCTTGCTGATTGAATCCTAACCACCCTGCTCTTCCTTCCACATCAGCTCACACCCCAGACAATAGCTTCCTGGGCTTTGTGGTGGAGCAGCACCTGAACTCCAGCGACGTCCACCACATCAACGAGATCAAGAGGCAGAACCAGTCCCTCGTGTACGGCAAAGTGGACAACTTCTGGAAGGTGAGTCAGTCCGTGTCCGCCTCTCTCTCTCGCTCACTGCTTGAAAAGACTTGTTGGTTAATTTCACTTCACTTTGATCCAGGGAGTAATCAAGCCCAGTGCCCAGTGCTTCTAATCTGCTTAGAAGTAAACAAGACATGGATTTGGTTGCTCTGAGTTTGAGTGTCTGGTAAAGGCTGTCCCAGCTCCTCCACACCGTTTGCCCAGCACAGCCCTTCGCTCCCTGCGTGTTGGAGTGACACATTACAGCCTCTTTCACATCCTGTACTTGCTTCCGAAAGCCAGTTCCCACAGAAGCTGGGTTTCTTTCCGGAGCAAAGCATTGCACAGACCTTTGCCAAGTCTTCGCCTCTGCCTTTTGTGAGATGATATGGAAAGACAGGCGCTCCCTTTGCCTGGGGAGTGCAGGCCTTCGCATCCATTCGGCTGTAGTCAGTACACACATTGGTCAGCTTTCCATTAACTGGGAAAGGAAAATGCCTGCCAGGACTGACTGCGGGCCGTTCGCTCAGGGAGATCTTGAACAAAAACAACATTCTCTTGGCCACAGATTGAGCCAGGTTTTCCAAAAGCGCTGGGCTGTTGGGCCCCAGAGGGCGCTTGGTGCTCCTGGATGGTTTCCAGAGCACATCTGGGGAAGGTAAGACAGGAAAGGAACCGATTGCAGTGTGACCTATCGACATGAAGTGCAGATCTTTTCTACAGGCAGTATGCGAATATCATAATTACCTTTGAGGATGTGTTTGTGTAGGAGGGAACAGACTCCCAAGAGTTCAAAACCTGCCTCTTTCTAAACATAAAAGGTAATTGCTTTCTGAATGGTCAGGAACTTTGGTCTCACATTTTCATGTCTTGCTCATTGAGGAAGTTAGAAGTCAGGCCACTGAAGGCAGCACATGTGATGGACAGGGTCTGGACTCCCTGCTGTGGGTTTTCAGATCCGTGTTCAGAAAAAGGTAAAGAACTGTGACCCGCCTTCAGTTCTAAAATGCTAACTGTGCAGAAGAGACGATGAAACCGGCCCTTTTCCATGGAAGCAGATTTAATTCCAGATACTAACTCTCTTTGCTATAATGGCTAGAATTCTGTCTTCCTTTAGTACTGAGGTTCTCCACTAGGGGCATTTTCACCCCAAGGGACATGTGGCAGGTCTGACTGTTGGGGGAAGTACTACTGGCATCTAGTGGGCTAAGGTCTGGGATGCTGCTAAACATCTAACAGGGCACAGGACTGCCCACAACAGGGAATATGTGGCACAAAATACCAGTGGTGCTGAGATGCTGAAACGCGGGCTGATAAATAAGATTTTCTTCCTACGTATGTTACTCCACATTTAATCCTCTCAAGTAAAATAAAATCAGGCTAGACTATAAATGGTTATTGATAGTCTCTCTACAGGTTATCTGTAGTCTTCCCATGAATTTGTACATCTTTGTATCAAAATTTGCCATGTTAATAGAGCATCATTCAACTGACTTTCAGCCCAACTTGTATTAAAAAGTGCATGTTGGGCCCTGCCTGGTGTGCTCAGTGGCTAGAGTTTGTCCCATATACCTCAGGGTCATGGATTTGATTCCCAGTCAAGGGCACTTACCTGGGTTGCAGGTTCATCCCTGCCCCTGGTTGCGGGGGGCGCGGGGGGCATGTGGGAGGCAACCAATCGATGTGTCCCTCTCACATCAATGTTTCTCTCTCCCCTCTGTCTCTCTTCCCCTCCCCACCTTCCACTCTCGGAAAAAATATCCTCGGGTGAGAATTAACAACAAAAAAAATAAGGACACATTGAGTGTTCCCATTTCTCAGCTCAATTTTGAAATGAATGGATTGTGGTACTGGTTTTGGGAGGTGTGAGCTCTTAAAAAAAGGCAAGTGGCTTCTCCCCTCTGCACCCGTTCAAAGAAAACAGTTTGCATGCCTCTGTGGACTTGGCCTTCACATTGTATCATTTCCATTTTGAAACCAAGTGCAGCTTCTTCCTGGGTGCTTCTGGCAGTTTTTTGGATTTTCCTAGAAAACGGAAACAATAAATCAGTTATGCATGCTGTGGGATCACCTTTTCTTGGATAAATTAAGGCTGCCCTTCTCTGCCCCAGCCCTTGTTTCCTAAGGCCACCCTGTTTCACACACGTGCCCTCAACCAATTACCACCCCTCCTCATCCCTATCACAGCATCCTCTTCCTTTCATGTAATTTTAATCCTTTTGTGATCACATATTTACCTTTTTCTGTCGGTCTCTGCTTACTTGCTAGACTATAAGCTCTTTGAGGGAAGAAATTGATTTTGCTTTACTCAACATAATAGGTGCTAGTCTCCTTTTGATTTCATCAAACGCGATTGACCTGGCGATCCTGGGACATGACTTGGAATGTGTTTTGCTTTGGGCATTGCCCTGTGCTCGCTGGTCCCTGGAACATAGAAGAGAGGGTTTGAAGGAAAAGGATTGGAGCCATGCCTACGCAGATTCTGCAGAGTGGTTCTCAGCCTTCCTAATGCCACGACCCTTTAATACAGTTCCTCATGTTGTGGTGACCCCCAACCATACAATTATTTTCGTTGCTACTTCATAACTGTAATTTTGCTACTATTATGAATCATAATGTAAATATCTGATATGCTATATGTGTTTTTGATGGTCGTGACCCACAGGTTGAGAACCGCTGCTAGAGGTTTTCAGAGCCCGTGGTGACATTAGCAGCAAGAGCCCTGCAAAGAAAACCCAGCACAGGAGGCAGCTGGGCTCTGGGCCAGCTCTGCTGCCCGCTGCATGATTTCTGGGCGGGCACCTCTGGGGTCTGTGTCCTCACTTGTATGCATGAAGGATTGGTAAAAAGGAATGAATTATTGCACAATAACACAGCAGATCTCAAAATAATTATGCCGAGTGTGAGAGCAGAACATAAAAAAAGAGTATGATTCTGGGTATGTAAAACTCTAGAAAATTCACACCAATGCAAAACGACGGAAAGCAGGTGGGTGGTTGCCTGGGGTGGGTGAGAGCGAGGTGGATGTGTCCACTGTCTGATTGTGGTGATGGCTTTAGGCATGTCGATATATGCACACTTACAGAATTGTCTATTTTAAATATGGGCAGTTTACTATGTGCCAGTTAAACCTCAACAGTGCTGTTAACGTACATTAAAGTTGGCAAGACAGGATTTTAGGGGCCAGATTTGGCCTGAGGCCTACATGCTAAAAATGGTTTTTCCATTTTGAAAGTCATAGAAAAACAACTACCAGAATCTAAAACAAAAGAGTATGTGGCAGACCTATGTGTTCCCACAAAATCTAAAATATTTGGCATCTATCCCTTTACAGAAACTTTGCTAGCCCCTGCCTGAGATCATTATTTACCTATGTTCCCTGGAGTCCTGGCCAGGGCCCAGCTGCTGTGGGAA